TTATAACCAGGGTGAAGTGCCCATGAGCAGGTTTAGTGCTGACAAGCGTGTGGGACACGCTGGAATGGCCCTGGGACAGGATCCAAACGACCAGACACATAACTGCCACATGGGAAAACAAAAACAAGTGTTTCCAGGCAACGGTTAGGGCCTCTGTGCGAACAGGTAGGACATCACACCTCAGCGCCTCAGTGTACACACGCCTGGCCTTTCTGCTATTCAAAGGAAAACGGGGGGGAGAGGATCCCTGTAAGGACACGTCCTTGACGTAGCTCTGAGAAAATGGGAAAAAACAGACATCTGACCAACAGCCAGCGAGGTCCAAGTATGATTTAATCCAAGAAGCCAGTGGAGATTTCCAAAGAGCAAAGGAACGTAAATTAATAAAACACACTTAATCACTTAATATACTGCGTATGGAACCATATTTGTTCACTTAAACTAAAGAGCGACTTCAGTGAAAACACACACACACACACACACACATCTCTTTTTACTAAACAGATAAGATTGTGGATCAATCAAGTAACATCCAGCAAAACTGCTTAAAATCAGTGCAAAGTTAACATTTTAGAGGATTCCTTTGTATGACTTTATTCTTCCTTCAAAGGTCCAACAGCGATGGCAGCCTGGGTCACGTGCATGAGGTTCAGGCCATGATCGCCAGCCCTTTGCCGCTGCTCAGCCGGAGCCCCGGAAGCTTCCACAGAGACCCTCCTGTGCACCGCCGCCGCCGGGATATCTGGAATCCCATTTGCATGACCTCATTCCCTGTCGCTGCTCGTGGCCACGGGACCCTATCCCTCTCATGACGAGCACTGCTGAGTGCTGCTTGGGGCTCCCAGGAAAATCAACAAACAAAAGCAACAAAGCAGCTCAAAGATCATCACTCAGCACGACAGAAAACGCTCGTCGAGGAGCTGAAACACGAACTCAGCAATAATCCACCACAGCCAAAAACAGACCACTCTAATTTATACTAACCAATTAAACAAATGTTTAACGCTAAAAGGAAAGCGCAAAAATAGGTAAAGACAATTGCAGGGGGTGCTGCACGCGGCGACATGGTGGGGGCCGGGCACACGTGGCGACATGGCGGGGGCCGGGCACACGCGGCGACATGGGGGTGGGAATGGCGGGGTCCGGGCACACGCGGCGACATGGGGGTGGGAGTGGTGGGGTCCGGGCACACACGGCGACATGGGGGTGGGGGGGACAGCACCATCAGCACCCCAAGGATCTCATCCTGATCCCGCATAAGAACATGTTTATCTTCACCACAAACTGCCACTCAGGTGAAATACCAACAGCGGACAGAACATACACATAAATAAACAAGGCCCCCACACTGATGACACCATAGTAAAGGCCCACCCCAGATATGGAAAAACCCCTCCCTCTGTGGTGGGCTCAGCACTCAGGACCTCTCCGCACACTGCGCCCAGCCTGGCACTGAACAGCGGGTCGGCAGAGCAGGATACCAGGCTGCAGACATTCCAACACATGGGGGGTGGAGGGGACAGTTCCCTGGAGCTACAGACGTTTCCTGCTTATTTTGCTAATTACAGAAAATAATGCTGAGCTCCTCCAGGCGATCATGGGAAGATAAAGAACAGAACAGAACTGCACGGAAGTCAGCTTCACCAAACCCTGCCATCCAAAGCAAAAGGAGGAGAACCGCTGAGGGACCAGCTAGTGGCCCCTCTGATGGCCTGAGATGGCCATATTCCTGACACCAAATGCACCATGGGTAAACAACTGCAATGACGGAATGCCTCTAAAATGAGGAGAGTCTGGGCAAAATATTCCCAAAAGGAGGACAGTTTGGGCAAATCAAGAGGGAAGCAGAAGAGTCAGTTACAGCTTGAATTCTTGTCTGAGGAATTGTGTGAGGTATACTTGGGGGAAGTCAGACGTTTAGCTTGAGGTATTGTCGGAGGTATACTTCACGGTGTAGTTTGAGGTATAGTCTGAGGTATACTTCGAGGTGTAGTTTGAGGTATAGTCAGAGGTATAGTTCGAGGTGTAGTTTGAGGTATAGTCGGAGGTATAGTTCGCGGTGTAGTTTGAGGTATAGTCGGAGGTATACTTTGCGGTGTAGTTTGAGGTATAGTCTGAGGTATACTTCGAGGTGTAGTTTGAGGTATAGTTCACGGTGTAGTTTGAGGTATAGTCGGAGGTATAGTTCGTGGTGTAGTCTGAGGTATAGTCTGAGGTATACTTCGAGGTGTGGTCAGGTATAGTCTGAGGTATACTTCGAGGTGTAGTTTGAGGTATAGTCTGAGGTATACTTCGAGGTGTAGTTTGAGTTATAGTCTGAAGTATACTTGGAGGTTTAATGTAACTAATTTCACTGCCTGCATCTACTGCTGTTTACTGTACTGCTGTGCATTTTATACATGAATTTTGATTTGCTTTTGATTTCATGAAAGGTGAAATACCTAACCTCAGCACTTAACCAGCACATGAATATATACCATTATAATCATGGGTAAATAAAGCCCGATTCAGGGGTAAAGTGGACACTTCACAATTTGATGGCAATGTGATCATTTCACCAAGAAGACACAGAGCTAGATGATCTTCTTAAAGAGAAATTTGTGAAATTGCATACATCCCCCATCCAGCGATCCCTCTGCTAAGGAGTCTTAACATCTGTCTGTGCCGGATGTTAAGAGAATTCCAAAACTTCCTGCCTGCTGGAATGCCTTGGTTGGGGGGGGGGGTGACAGAGTGGAATCAGATGGCAGATTCCACCCTCAGAAAAAGCAGCAAGAAAGCAGGAAGAGCTTTTTAGCCCAAAGAACCAGATGGTCCCACCACAGAAGATCTGCTTTCCTCTCTTCTCAGCTTTTAAAATTGCATTTACTAGATCATGAGACGTCACTGTCAAAACCAAATAGGTTGTAGCTGCCATCTCAGAACTGAGTACTTTATTTAAAACCCTGGGAAAGAGTCTTTGACACAAGACCAGGGGGTGTTTCTCAGTTAGCTGGGTTAAGGTAGAAGTCATGATTGGCCAATAAGAGTTTAGATAAGGAACATTACTGTTGGACAATCATGACTTCTAGCTAGCTGAGAAATCCTGCTTCATGGAACACCCCCAAGCCCTGACTCAATGACTGATTCGAGTGGCTGCCCATTTAGCGATGGTTACCACTGGTTACTGATGGTCATAAGGCCAGTCCACCATTCGCTAATATACATATATATATTTTTATTTTTATTTTTTTTGGAAGAGTAACTTTCTAAAATATAGGGCTAAGCCCGGAATAGGCCACACCTGGGACAAAACCTGAAGATGTGGCGCTAAGGACAGAGGGCAAGCTGCTTAGATGTTTGTCCTACACTGCGTGACCCCCACAGTGAGGTAATTAGGACTAAAGGTCAACTTTAAACAGATGCCATCTGTCCTACATAGTGTCTTCATAAACATGACACCCATCAAAACCTAAATTCATCTTCAGCTTACGAGAAGCCAAGCAGTACCTGAAGAACATGCACATTAGCCGCAGTCAAGCTCTCTTGATTGTATCCAAACGTACCTCCCCCCGCAATGGACAGGAAAGGCTCAGGACAGCAAGATATGTGTGTAACACCACCCCCACCACCACCATGTGACATCAGCACAGCACAGGAACCACAAAATTCAAAGGAAGAACCCAACAGGACCAGTACTGATCTGCTTATTTACGAGTGCTTTTATAACTGCTGTGACTGTAAATACTATTTACCAAGTGGTCAATGGGTGTTTGCACTTGTGTTTCTAAATACGCAGTTGTGTTTATGCATCCAGAAGGGTGTTTGTACATTTACATGGATCCTTAGGTGTGTAGCTGCGTATAAAGGTGCTCACGCATGTACTGGGAAATGTGGCCACGTTAGCCTTCCCTGTGAATGAAGCATTTACAGTATATGATCATGATCCCGTATGAAGAGCGGACGTACACAGTCACAGCCTGGAAGGAGGCCACGTTACATCCGCATGCCCAGCCAGCTGTCCTCGGCACCCCAGCGAACAAACCCGCCACGGGAGACAAGCGACAAGCGGGAATAAACGGCAAAAGTGATTCGGGGGGAATACCGCTAGACGACATGTGATGGTGTGACAACACAGGAACACAAAGTGAGCTCTGTGTTTGGGGACAGCATGACAGCGATGAAGCTGCTAATGTGACTGGCCGAATTTAAAATAAACAGAGATTAATATAACCTGCCTGAGGGAATTAAAAACCGCTAAATGTCTAAAGGTAGCAGCTATTTTGAGGTTATTTAAATATAAAGACTTAATGCCGCTTATTTCTTGCTGTACGGGAGCGAAGTTTGCACCTCTGTGGTATAACAAGGATAAAAACATTAACTCAAAGCGTAGCACTTCATTTAAGAGATGTGATGTTCCCAGGCTGCTGCTTACCAGCTTTTTGTTCTTGCCGTCGTCCTCGGTCGGCTTTCTCTTTGACGGCTTGCTCGGGTCCTCGCCGCCGCCTGCTTGGCTGGCTGGATCCATGTCGGCTTTCGGTCACTTTCCGTAAAGTTAGACGATAGTGTTTCTTTAAAAAGCGAATTACTCCAAGTGTGCGTGATCGGGGGTCGCGAAAAAACCCATGCCATCCAAGAAGGGGGGAAAAGTAGTAAAAAGTGGGGTAAATCCCAGAGTAGTTAATCCGAATGGCTGGGAGGTTGTCGCTCTCGCATCCAGCTCTCAGGGCCGAAAGGGGCGCTTTTCGGGGAGGGGAGGGGGGGGTTCAGACGTGCTGCCAAAACGATCCGATCCCGGAGGCCGAGAAGATCTGTGTAAACAGACAACAGAGGCAATCAAATCGGACACATTTCAGGAAAACAATATGATAAAAAAAATTTCGGGAAAGAACAGGGTACACTCGTACGCGTGTAACAAAAGGATTCAATGTTTCACGTGTAACTTTTGTCAACAGTGTATGAAAACGGCGCTGTAAACGCCCATTCAGATTGCCAGTTACACCCGTCTTAACTAGCTGTGTAGCCGGGGTTACTCGATCCGATCACCCTGGAAAAAGCCGGAGTAGCAACACAACTGCTAAATGCACTCCGGGAAAGTCAGAAGTACGGTCCAAGGAGCACCAAATGCGACGTTTCAACGCGATCACAGAACAAAACTTGTTAATTCAGCAGCCATACGTGTCTGTAGTCAGTTGTCTGTGGCTTGGTGGGTTCAATACAATTGATAGCGGTTTTTCTGACCAGCTAGTCAAATCACATCGGTCGCCCACAGTTATGCACCGCATTTTAAGTCATGGGAATCCCGTAAAATGAAGAAAATGACTCCTGTCGTTTTAAACTCCACCAATTTTATTTATAAGAAATAAATCACCGTTGCATAGTCCAAGCTCCAACATAAAAGACAACATCAATATTCAACAAATGCAACACCCCGATGCATTAGACTGCACTATTACATACGTCTGACTAGTAACACACACTGATTTGATATCAAATTATATTTAAATAACAAACCATATTAACCTGTCAAACAAAACTCCCTAGGTAAATCCCAACCGTAAAGCTTACCATCACAACCAAACCACGAGACGCAGGCCCTCTACAGACGCACCCACAGAGCGCTCCGATTCGCCTAGGAAAGGGAATCAACCGTGTAGTCGCCGCATTTCCATTGGCTCTCTGGTCTGTCAATCAAGAGGTCAGCTTTGTTACTGAAAGCGGCAGGTGCGCTGCTTGTATAAGGTCGAGGGATGTAAGGTGCGTGCTGGCGCCCCAGTGTGGTGCTCCCTTAAGTTTACTGCCGTTATTTACAACCCCCTTTAGGGTTTTTATACAAGGCTTCTTAAATCGTAGCTAATTAAAGCAGACTGCGCTATCTCTTATAAATATACCATTACTAATACTAATAAGTATTAAGTATAGATAATACATATTTGTGTTTTTGCGCATTAAAAATCACGTTTCTAATAATAAACATCCGAACTACATACATTTCATCATTTTTCAGAAAATTCTTGGTAAATTTAGTTTGCATACTTCAATTGATTTACAGTTAAAACTGCGTTAAATGAATAAATACGGGTGGAGGAGTTAAATCGAAAGGGGACGGGTTGGTTAAAATTTTAATTGACCCATTTTGCTTTTCAACAGCTGCTTCAATTGTTATTATGTTACTCGTGTATCATTCTTTATAGCTAACATAAATTTGCAGATCGCACCCCGTATTCATCTTATTTTAGATACACTTGGTTAAATGTATCTTCCAACTCACTGACAGTGAATAAAGTCATTTAAATTTATGGCTGTATGTCAGTGCGTGCCGTGATCGCAGCTTCACACAATGGCATGACAGGTGTGTCTCAAAACACACCACTCGGTCGTGAACCACACCGGTAACGCCAGTAATGAGGTTTGAACCGCAACAGGAGTGTTTCTTTATGGTGCTGTAAAATAAAATCCACAATGCATTCCACCAGTAAGACATTTTTTACTTTATCGTTAAATGTCTTGTTCACTCTAGGCGCTGCGATATCTCGTGCTCCACAATTTTTAAGAGCATCGTCTTGGCCGATTTCGCCACAACCTGACGCCGGCTGTAGCGGCGATCCCGATAACCCGCTATCGCCGGCTCCCAATGACTTCCTCCCCTATCTCTGGTCCCACCGGCTCTGCTTGACTTGGATGGTCCTCCTTTCCGGTCTGTATCTCATGTTGTTGCTGGGGGGAAATGAGGGCGAATCAAAGTCTGACCTATCAAATAATACATGAAGCGTCACATGATTACCGGCCCTGGGAATCTAATGATCGGCAGAGGGACCGGGGAAAAGCGCTCCTCTGTCTCGGGAACTAGCTGTCACCTCTATCAACGATTATTCGCAGTAATTTAATAGTACTACTACTAATAATAATTCATTTGTTACGGGCATTTCTCACTGCCAGTGCGTTACACGGACATTGTTTCCTTGTACATCGCATTGCTAAAAAGGCGACCCCCCCCACCCCCGTCTGGACAGTCCCAAACCAGATGTCGCCTTCGTCCTCAGAGCGAAGGTGTGCGACCACGTCAGGGCATCGAAGTGAAATTGCAAGTGACTTCTTTAAAAAATCTGCTGAAGTAAAAACCTTAGGGTTGGTCTTTAATTGCCCAATTAATTTAGTATTATTTGTTCTGTTGAATATGTCCTTCGCTTTTTTGTACGTTAATGGTGCCCTTTTGGACAGAACGGTTCACCGAATAAACTAATGCAACCGCTATATCTCGGCTGGTCGACTTAAGTTATACGATATTTCTCTTTCTGCTTCGCTATTTCAGTTCAACCCGCCATGCTACTTTTAGGAGATACATTAAACTGAAATGAGCGGCATGCCTAGGCAGATAAAGATTATCGTAGCGGAAAAAAACAAAACGACTCATCAAAAGTTTATACACATAGATAATTAGTTAGCTGTTGACCACTGCGTTTTTCTTCTGGCTGATTGTGGAAACAGCGTGCGCAGTAAGTTATTATGGTAATTATATTAACATATTATTGTGAACTTATACGTAATGCAGACATTACACAGGCTTTCATATTTGTAGTTGTTTTATATCTAGACATGGATTCTGCATGTCAAAGTCCTGGCTGGCCACATAACATGTGTCTCCTGTCACAGCACAGCATGGCGCAGGCAGGAAAATAGGTGACAATTCACTGGCAGCTTCAAGACAAAGGAGGTTTATTGGGAAAAATGGAAAAAAAATTGGTATAAACTATAAAACAAAAAGGACCACAAGGGGTCAGGACTAAACAGGAGGGAAAAAAACACTGAATAACAACGAAAGAAACCATAACTTGACACAATCGGGGAGCAGTAATAGGGAAATCAAGCAGAACAACATTAGCACAGGCCTCTAATACAAAGACAAACAGAACAGACACTTAAATACACACAGAAACTCAGGGCAAACAAGGGACTCATGTAAATTGTACATCAAATAAATCAATCACAAAAGGAGCAGGACAACGAGCAACGGGTGGAACAATTAACAAGCACAGAACTCAGTAATACTACAAACACTAAAGCTAGGAAACGCTAAGCTACACTCTTGGAACACACTAGGATCATTTACAGAACCAAAGGCCAGAAGTGACCAGGAAAATAGCAGGGCAACCTATAACCAGGAGAACAGAAAAGAAACACCGTGGAACAAAACAAATAAATATAAACAAACAGATGAGTCTGATCCCTGGCCAGCCTCAAACCCATGACCAGGTGATTACATCTCAGCAGCTCAGGGAACAAGCAAAACACAAGGGATTAGACACAATTGGGCTGAAAGACAAGAGACAGGGAGGAGAACAGGATGGTTAGCAACCCCTGCTGGCCAAAAGGACCCTGGCGTCCTTTTGGTCTGATACAGGGCTAGAAGGTCCAGGCTAGAATTCCTAGCCCACTGCACACTGGATAACTTATCCAGGCCAGAGCGCCCATTATGAGCTGTGTGATTTGACGTCCAAGGAACTACTGAGGCTACAAGACCTGGCAGCCAATCAGGTGCTGAGGCAGCACTGTTAGAGATTAAAAAGCCTCCCAGTGTTTGATGTAGTATTATTGAACATTTCCATCAGCATACACTGGTTATCCTCCCCCCGGAGGGGATGCCAGTCCATTAGACAGCACACACACACACACACATCCAACCACAGTCAGCTTGAGATACACATTCATCTCATCCATTTTCCAGTACAAACTGGTGATTCAAGTGACGCATGTATACACTGGTAGCCAAAATTGTGGAAACACTTCCAATTTTTAGAGATAGCAGAACTTTAATCAACTGTTACTCCAGTTACCTATTAAATCATTCAATGTATGTTATTTTTAACATTCTTTGATAATGTCAAAAATGCTTGGCATTTCCACAATTTTGGCCACTAGTGTATATAACACAAAACAGCCTAGACAACTTTGTTAGACTAAAAGTAATATTTGACCCCTAATTATGTTAATAGGTATTTCATGGACTATTACTCTGTAAATGGTTTTCTCTGATTATAATGAACAAATCCAGTGAAATTAGTATGTTTAAATAGTACCAAAGCTGGTCACTCATGAGACCTAAAAATCCATCTGATCGTCTGGTCCAAAAAAGAACATTAAAAAGGACTCAGTTTTAAATAGCTGTGAATAGTTAATATTGCATTACCATAATGTCTCACCATTAAATGACAATGTCATGTTGTACATATGATGATAGCTTATGTTCCTGTGCTGGACAATGACAGCAGTAACAGCAGAAGCTCTCCTTTCTTCTCAGAGCTTTCCACTGGACAGTGTCTGGCTCCCAGCATCAGCTAAGGTCACGTCCACAAATGAACATGCCACACCGGCGATGTCATATCGTTTATGCAAGTATTCCCATCCACACTGAAACGAGCAGAAATGTACATGATGTGACTATTGCCCTACATTTGGCAGACGCACATCAACACAATGACTTTTAAATTAGTTTCTTTTTGCAGAAATATGCAAGTCACGCCGTGTAACACAATATTTAGCTGCATACAGCTCAGAAACGGGGAAAGCGTCACTGCAAGCAGCCCTTCCATGTCCGGTATGTTGGAATACTGTTTACTTCTGTGTAGGATGACTAAGTGACCGATCAGACTATAGCCAACTCCAAATTTATGGGGCTGTATCTACATAGCCTTATATTCTACATCCTTTTAAAAATCCATGCAATGAAACCTGGGATAGGTTGGGCCTATCGGGTAGATCCTTCATGGCCCCCTTGAAAAGAAGGCCGCATTTTAAGGCGAAGAAGGCTGCAGTCCCTGAAATGGGGCACAAGGAATAAGACATTGTAACTAGCAGGATCAAATTAGGGAAGGGCCATGTGATGAGTAGGGACCAATCAGGGCACTTTTATTTTTGGAGGCTGAAAGGTCCAGGGTAGAGTGGACTAAAGGCAAAAACAGAGATTAATGTCTGTGTTTTTAAATGAAAACTTAGCAGTGTGGATGCAGCTTTAGTGTCTCAGCCTTTCCCTGCTACATTGCTACCCCACATCTGTGAGGCACATAGTCTTATGCAGTCAGCAGCTGTCAGGGGGTGCATTCTATTAACAATTATAATTGATCCCTGTGGGGAAATTCTCTCTATGCCTCCTCAAACTTGCGCTTTGTAGGCAAGAGTGTGCTGGCTGTGAAGGGCAGCCACCTGTTGCAGCGCCCAAGGAGCTGGGGGTTAAGGGTCTTGCTCAAGGACCCGCAGACGTGCCGACGCCAGGCGAACGGGCAACCTTCCCATCACAGGTATACAGGCTTAGCCCACTGAGCCACGTGCTGCCCCCCCGACTGATTGTTCGTCTACCGAATAGATGCTAAAGTATATTTCCTTAGGTGTGAAAACTTGCTAAAATAAAGTTTTTTAAAATAAAATTATATAAGATTTTGTAAATAAATATACTGCACTGGAAAAAAATAAGACACCATAATTTTCTATATTTTTTAAAAATCTACATTTTTAAATCCAGGTTTAATCCTGGTTCTGCTGGCAGAAGGCTACACTGAGCAGCATGGTTGCTTCCAGGTTCAAAGTTTCTAAGACAGCAGCACATAAGAATAAGGTGCAGCAGGAGACACTGGGAACGACCAG